GTCGTTCCCATAATACTCCCAGAAGAAATGGCTTCTCAAATCGGTTTAGCACTGTCTTTCCTCAAACGTGATCGATTACTCTTCCTGTCACGGAATTTCTCCATCTGTTCCTGGGAAATTCCGTCGGAAGCTAGACTCGCCGGACCATCACAGGTCACGCATCAACAAACCCATGAGAAGAAAGGATTCAGCGAGATGTTTGCATTACCAGCAGACTGGGTTAGTAAAGACTGTCTCGAGTTATGTATGATTTGGCTTCAAGAAAGATCTCTTTTGTGCCCGCGGAACGGAGAGGTCGCAGTGGTGAGATGCTCAAGCTTCAGTTGAGCATATACGGTTGGTTGTGTAATTGGCCCTACGGACTACATAGATGCTTCTGTCGCCATGCAGTTCCTTTGTGGTAATCAACGAGAAACAAGCATTGAGCAAGCAGGCATAATCCGCCCATGAAGGTGAATGTTCCACCTACGCCCATCGAGTTTATCATCGGTTGGAGAAACGAGACTGTGACTGCTGCTAAGGCGCAGCGGACTATATTACTAGAAGCCTGTGCGACTACCGGCGCTCGATTGTTTTTGTCTACGAGGAGCGTGTTGTAGATCTGCGCGGTCTTCAGCTCTCAGGCTCCGTATGGAGGATTCTTAGAAAGAAACTGACACTGAAGTCGAGCTGCATACAGAACCCTGTTATAAACTGCAGGACGAGTGATATGGCCATTGGCTTCAGTGTTTGAGCATCGGTACAACTAGCGCTCGGGGTTATGACACACCTTTTGGTAATGCAACACCCACCCGTAGGTTACAATAGACGCAACAGTCATGAACATGGGTATCCAGATGACCTGCAGCCGAGCTTTCTCGACAGAAAAGCTGTCCAAGTCGTCTCCAGCGACCTTATCCGTGGACAAGTCTTGCGTGGTTCGCGCTTTGCGCCAAGCTCGATTTAGAAGCCGGCCAGACACTAAAGTTGATGCAGCTCCGCCGACACCAAAGGGAAGGTAGATGAGTCCGGCTTGAAGCTGATTCAGATGATATACGTCGACGAATAAGGTGGATAGTGAAGCATTGATGCAGGTGTGTACAACGTAAAGCAGTCCGCACGCTAAAATAATAATCGCGTTGTCTAAACGTCGAAGTAGCATGAGTGACTTTAGTGGGTTAGGCATACGCCAAGTTCGCGCAAGCTCAGCTTCGCTAGCATCCCAATGACGCATGATGAGCGGAGGTGGCAGCAGAGGCTTCGTCGGTCGAATTGATCCATTACCCACATTGTTTCGCGAAGTCTCCGGTAGGCACAGTAACATAGTTGCGAGGCAAGATCCCGATACGATGCACAGGAACCAAAAGATCCAAGGCCATCCAGCGACCAACGTGAGGCTACCGCCAAGTACTGGTCCAATGCTAGGTGCTGTTGTCACACTGGCGACTATGAGCATTTCTGTCTCTTAATATCAGGAGGTCAGACGAACGCGAAGGATACCAATGCAGCGAAAGAGCCTCTTTCCGCGGGCGACGCAATGTCAACGACAACACCGTATGCTACCGAGAACGTGCCTAGCAGCGGTAAGAAGCAGACTCAACGACTGCGATAACACATACCCGAAATAGCCAAAGCCTGCAACGCGCGCAGAGCAAGAAGCGCTGGATATGTTTTCGACAAAGCGATAGCAAGATTCGCGATGAAATACACTGTCAGGGTAACAGCATATACTGGCCGCCGTCCAAGTATCTCTGCGGCGTCAGCCACCAACATTGGAGATAAAGTGGCGACCGCCATGTACGTCGTCACGGTCAAGTCGATTTTGTTGACAGACACCCCTAGTTCTTTTGATAGCGTGGGAATGGCTGGGAAGTAAATGAAACTGCTCAACGTGGAGAACCACGCTGCATACGATGCTAGTGCGACGATGCACCATTTTTCGGCTTTGGTGAAGACGGAGTAGCGCTCGATGGTTTCGGTGTCGATGTCGCGATTACTTTCGGCGGTAACATTTTTGCTGGACATGTCTTTTTTGGTGGAGCGAGTTGTTGAGAGGTATCAATTGCGCTTCTGGCATTGGGGCTGATGCTGAAGGCTGGGGTACGGGGCGTCGTGACGTAGCGGCAGGCGGCGTCGTACACATGCGTTTACCCCCCCGCCTCGATCGATGCCAATAAGATATCATTCCAGTACACAGAAGCCGGTCACTTCGTCATTGACGTGGTCTGGTAATGTTTTCTGCTAGAGCATTGCTCGTTGCGATTCGAAGTTGGACATCTGCTGCTAGCACTGCTTCTTCTCTGCAGTAACCCTATCATCTAGTACAACGGCTCTAGATGCATTCGATGCGATCTCACGATCACTTTGCATCGTTTTATCTTGATGTAGGCGGCAGACCTGTTCAGGTTTTTCGGGATTAGAGGTGGTGCTGCGACGAAGTTGCGCATCCGTATGCAGTGTTCAGTTGTCGTACCTGCCGCTACACAAAGCTATAGTGGTAAAAGTCGCGCAGAGCTTCGAGATCGAACAAGGAACATTACAGATTGCGCCCATCGTGGAACTTCAGTGATAGGTGAGAAAACGCGTGCCTGGGCTCGAAGCGCGTCCTGGGTGGTTGCGCGTCATGGCCTAGCCGGCCCCGGATTGGGGGCTGGCGAGGCGGTGCCGATGCCGATGCCGCTTGCACAGCCATCACAAAGAGGGAAGCCTTGCACTGCCCCCACGTAATCATCATTTGCATTGGGGATATGGAACGCAACTGTTTCCTTCTGGCTATCATACTGTCAAGCTTCAATCACCCCGTTGATGGTTGATCGCCGGTCTTTATAGCCGCTCATCCCGTTTCGACAGCCACTGAGTCTTGCATCATCTGTCGGAGATCACTTTGACTATAGGCGCACCCTCATGGACACAATATGCCAGTTGCGCAACGATTCCGAAAGCTGATTAGGTAGGTGGTGGCATGCCTTTGAAGACGCAAAGAATAATTTTTCGCTAACACCACAGCTATTAGCTATGGTCGCGATGCACTGACTAGTCATGTCGATGACAAAGGAAGGCTAGGGACCAAGCGGAAAGGGCACTGCTCTCTCGCTTCGGATTTGATACATTCCCCAGAAGCAACCAAAGGACATACGGGAACATATCGATATCGACATCTCCGAGCGGCACATTCGATCAGATTACTTCGTTTTCTGCCCGGTTCCAATGATAGAGACATTCGCTGCACCATCAAAGAATACGACATAACTTCAGAGACTGTTCTGTACGTAGCGCTCTCCTACGTCTGGGGGGATGCCACGATCCAGCATCCTATTTTCCTGGATGGCGAAATCGCATACATCACCTCAAATCTCAGGGAAGCCCTGACGCACCTAGGGAACGCGCTCCCGCATGCCAGCTTTTGGATTGATGCAATCTGCATCGATCAAAGTAACACAGCAGAGCGAATGCGTCAAGTAGGAAAAATGAGAGCTATCTACAGCAATGCAGCTGAGGTGGTAGCATGGCTTGGCCCAGGGTACACCGGAATTGGAAAATTAAGCTCAGTGATAGGTGTCCACTACAGCAACTGTTCTTGGCATTACATGCACCCGGTCTGTCGCTGTGGGATTCTAATAGATCGTGAAATCGTCGCCGCGATGCAGCATCTTGTACGACAACCCTACTGGCAACGGGTGTGGATCATCCAAGAAGTGGTCATGGCTAAAAAGATCAGAATCATGTGCGGTACTGTGACCCTAGAATGGTCTTATTTTTGTCTGTTTCTAGATGATATGTTCCAAAAACTCCTCCCACTTGCGAAGGGTATGGCATTTGATCGCACCGAGCTTCAGGACCGATTTGATTCCATCTCGCGTTTATCCCTTTGGCCATGGAAATCCTCAATTTTGGCGCACGCCTTGCACTGTTCTGCTTCACGTCTTGCTACCGATGGTCGGGACAAAGTATATGCGGTACTTGGTCTAATTGACAAAGGAGCTGGTCGGTTCCTCGCCGCGGACTACACGCTTTCGCCTTGCAATGTGTATTGTCTTGCCATCCGCGCCATGGCGGTCGATTGCGGTGAAAAACGATGTCGTTGCGGCTTGCACGTGGGTATGATATCAGATGCGTGCTTAAATGATGCCCTTGAGCGGGATCAAGTATCAGTGGATGGAAGAGTATGTTGTTGTTCAAAGAAACCGAACAGTTCCCCGTTGACAGTATATCAGATCTCAGCCAAAGACGGAACCACGCTTGATACGGGATGTGATGGAACACAATGTCAAACCCAGGCCTTAATGCAGAAGTTTGCAAACAGGCATTACATGATTCGAAGGGCTTCACTCGAAGTCCCTAGAGAGATCGTTCGCGGACCTGAACATTGGTGACACCGTTGGGGGTATAACTTTGCACTCCTTTTTCATATTGCAAACTACGACCTGCTACCTGTCAAAACGCGTTACGATCGCAGTTGAGAAATCTCTCTAACTTGCTGTGCTGGTGGAAGGGGTGAGACGCTCAAGCAAGACTGTGTCTGTGTAGGACTTCATCGGCATAGTTCTTAAACTAACACCAATGTGTAAAGCGATGGCATGGTTACATGCACAAAACTGTATGATGAGAACCTTTCTCACTGTCGTCATCCTATTCATTACCTTACCACCTCGGTGCTTTTTCGATTCATAGATGTCAAGCCTTTGTACAACTACATGCCCGTAAAACACGACTAATCAGTACCTAGTCTTCGCTAAATTACAACTAAAACCTTCATTCAATTCTTGCTAAGGTAGTCACACTACTGCTTCATAGCGAAATCTTTTGTCTCAAACTACAGACTTTCATCCTCCAGCCACACTATACAATTACTGGTACTATCAGTACATCACAGATACCCTCTCCAGCCCACCCACTCAACTCCCTTCTTCAACACCACCCCAACAACCCACGACTCAACCACACTCAAAGCCCCCACCACAACCGCCGATGCCACCGCCCCCATACCTTCCCACCCCATCTTTCCAAACCAACACTGCAAATCAAGAACGACCGGGCTATGAACCAAGAAAGCCGCATAACTATACTTCGCCACATCCACGCTACCCACCATCCAGCGCTTGCTCAGAAACGCCAAACGTGGGTTGTAGAAAGCTTTTAGAAGGAGCGAAGTGAGGGTCAAGCCAGCGAATTCGTTGAAGAAAGCGTAGAGGAACGCGAGTGGGTTAGGGCCGCCGAAGATGAGAGGGACGATGTCGGGGAAAGACATGCCGGTATCGAGTAGCGATTTGATGTGGAAGAGACTGAGAGAGGCGATGGTGGCGGTGATGGTGCCAACTATTCGCAAGGTGTGCGAAGAGATGGCGTTTTGGAGTGAGCGGCCAGAGCGGTGGATGTAGATGCCGGCGGTGTAGTAAGTGACGTATTGGGATACATACGCCAGCTGGAGGAACAAGGGCCAGAAGGCTCGGCCTACGGGATAGTAGAGTCGGATGAAGAAGGATGATGTGGATATCAGGCCTAGGGTAGCCAGCACGTGAGTCGTCCGGAAGGGCTTCGGTTCCTCTGGGGCGTTGGTAACTTCCATTTGGGATGGAGTCTTCGTCGACGGTGCGCTGGCCTTAATATTGCTAGAGGCAGAACCGGAGTCCGCTTTCTTGCCCTGCGGCACCGGCTCCTGACGAGCAAAATACCCCGGCAACAATCCAGCAAACACCGCATCAAAAGCCAAAAGAGTAGCACAATACCAAACCGGCCCTCTAATCCCCCTCACGCTCTTGACCCCCTCCCAAACCTCCCTCCCCACCACGCCCCATCCTTCTCCCTTCAACCTCCCCGCCAATATCCCCCTCACGAAACCCCCCCTCACTAGACAAAACACAAGCGTCGGCACACCCAACCTCCTCCACTTCTCGCGCAGAAACTGCGACCTCGTCTTCTTCTTCGCGGCGATGGAGGAAAAGTACGCGGAGACAAGGAAAAAGGAGCCCATGAAAAAGGTCTGGTTTGTGACGTTGAAGAGGACGAGGGCGGGGGAGCTGCTGGGGTAGTAGCGGGGGGAAGTGTAGGGCCAGGGGCCTGCACCACCGTAGGGGGTGGAGGCGTGGTGCAGGATTACGAGGGCTGTTAGGCTCGTGCGGAAGTTGTCTAGGGTGTGGGTGCGTGGGTTGGCCATTTTGGAAGAATGGTATCTTGAGAGGTGATGTGGTATCGAAGCAAGTCATTCTAGGAGGCGATTGCTGTCTCTTTTATCTTGCTCCATTCCATGTATGTGGTCATCATTTTGGTGGTGCATGTAAGCAGCGGAGTATACACGCGTGAAGAAAAGTGGGGCTGGTGCCTTGTCGTGTAAGGCGGAATAAACGAGGCGGAATGATTGTGGCACGGAGTGATGATAGGCCACAGCCCAAGCGCTATCTTGCCTTTTAGTATCTTCCTATCATCAAGCGAAGTAGCCGTTCATTTCCATTGCGACTACCAGCCGCTCCATTTGATTCTCTTCTGCAGTGCCTCTTCCTTTGCCGTAGCCCTGTTTGCCTGTCAGGCCTCGGCACACACTCAAGAACACCCGTACTTTTCCTCTGAGTTTCGCGTAAAGACCTTTCACACTTTCTTCCGTCTGTTGTGTGTTGGCATTCTGCATCTTGGCGAAGAGAAGGATGTGGTCGAATATTTCTTCTACAAGGACCATGATCTTGCGCTGTCGTTTCCGGAGTAAGAGTGCAAACAAGATGCTGTCCAGGCATCTCTCGTGCGAATCGCGCAGAGATGCAACACCTTCCGTGACACGCACTCCGAGCTCGCCGGCTGCGTCTTCCTCATTTAACCTGGTCTCGACCGTCCGAACCAAGGTATCAAAGTCGTCCCACGGCTCTGCAATGCCGGTCTGGAAGACGTAGTTGGTGAGCGTTATCACGAAGTGATACGCCTCGGTCCTGAAGTAACGAGCGTTGCTATCTGCATACTCGCGTGGTAGATGCGAGACGACGAACAGCATGCGCAGAAGCCGCAGCAGGAACTTGAAAATGTAGTCGTACTTGTCTAGAGAGGTACTCGTGATCACTAGATTTAGCGGGGCTGGCGCTACGTACTGTAACCGCAGGAAGTCGAGAGCATGTAATGCATCAGGGTCCATGACCTTTTCTTGTTCCGCCTCGGTGAGGTTGCGAATAGCGAAGTTGAGCTGTCCGGGAAGCTCATCGTTATCCCTGTTGTTGAGAAGCGCGGTAGGCGCAGCTACAGCCTCATCGCCCTGTGTTGACTGGTACAGCGTCGAGGAATAGTAGCTCTCGCTGAGAACGCCTCGCAATGCCAATCGAAGCTCCGAACTCGCTGGTGGCCATGAAGTTCGGGACCCTAGTTGCAACCCCATGTGTACTCCACTGCGCATCTTTCCTTTGTGACGCTCGGCACTCTCGCGGTCGGGGTCAAATAGGGCGGTTGCTAGTAGGGATGAGAAGACACCATCACCTAGAAGGTGGTACTGCCGCTGCAGAGATAGGTGAAGTCGCAGCTGATGTGACCGAAAGAACAAACGGATCGTGGCTGCGTTGACTAGTTTCGCTTGTGCGGTGATGAGTGGGCGGAACGACAGTGTAGATGCTAAAGACATGGGTGGCGAGAACGTATTGGATACAGCCTCGCCATCTTCACTTGTTCTCTCTAGTGTTTTCTCTATGAGAAGCTGCAGTTCGTCTGGCAGCGCTTGACACGACCATTTCGGTGTGTCATCCATGCGCCGGATAGAGTCCTCAAAGTATCGATCGAGATCTTGAGAGTTAGTCGGGACCTCAGTCGCAAACTCTGGTGCTGTGTGAGTAGAGAGAGCGGCTGTCTCGTCATGTGATCCTGTGCTGAAAGCGAGCAATGCTTGTCGGAGCCTCTCTTCGTACGCTTTTGCCTTTGACGCTAGTATCTCGATATCTTGCCATTGAAAGCCCCAATCCATGTCCGGAGGCTGAACTGCTAGCCCATCAAGGCGAGCCAGGGGGTGATAGGGATGCTGTAATTTCAAGAAGCGAAGACTGTGACCTATTTCGAATATCGTATTG